AAAGAAAAAAAAAAACGGCGGTCGAGTGACGTCGGCCGGCGTGTCGCAACGGGAGCACTCGCACGACAATCAAGAACAAATCGCCGCGCACCGGACGGACGCCGCTCTATTATACAGTAAATGGGAAACGCAAATAGGCAAATAGCCTATTTATCCCCCGATCCCGGCGCGTCCCCATCGGACGTCGGGAGTTCTGCGAAGCGATTTATGCCCGCGACTCGTCCACTCGCCGACGCTGCTCCGTGGAATCTTTGGATCCATTCGCCTTATGTGCTGTCCGCCATCGACTCGATTGAAATCACGTCCACACGATGTTTCCGACGATGGTACATAACAATACATACACAAGTACCGGAGAGAGCAGTACTGTATTGCATATATAATAGTTGATCCGTGCAAAATTTTCGCACGGTACCGTGACCGAATAATTATATATTGTTGTGTAAATAAATATTGTTGAATGAAAGGTATTATATTTTGAAGAATAACAGATTCAGTTTACTTCGCCGTCTTTCATTTAAACAAATTGTTACTGTATTATACATAAATATTATCATACATTCTATATAACATGTTTCTAAACGTGTTTATATTTTTCGTCCATTACGGTAAACATAAACTTTAAAACGACGTTGGTATCGTGAAAATTAACAAGGAATTATGGAAGTTACCACTTGAGAAATAATATACAGATATCATCCTATATTCTATTACATTTACGCCCGGTTTCAGAAACCGGGCGTAAATGTAATATTATATTAGCTGATTAGTTGACATCTACGATGATCACTGTTTTAAACACCGGGCGTTAGTTTTCAAATGGAGCGTTGTTAATGCTTTAAGCAATGATCTTCGCGAAGGAAGGAATTAAGATGAAGCCAAACTCTTCTGTTAAGTTCGTACATCATATGCTTAAACGCACGGCTGATAAGACGATGCGGCGTGTTATTCAAAAACCGCAACGCGACACAGGCCCGGCTGGATTGTCAACAGTGCGGTTCATTAAATAAACAAACATCCCAACAGGACGCGCACTATTCGTAAATACCGCCGAGTCAAGTTCCGAGAGGTCTCTATCTCCGGTTACATTGAAACGATCGGGAGTATCAGTCCGTTGGGCGAAGTACCAGTGCGTATGTCACGCACGGCCCTGCCTACACGAGGTACGTGGATACGCAACGCTCCATTACGGGGGACCTCTCCCAGCGGCCCGCTCAATTGAGCGAATTCGCCTCGATTGGAGTGGATTAGAGCGGCAGAGGTTTCCACAATTGAGCACCGCGCCCCCCGCTCTCCAACCGACGGAATTAAATCACACCAGCTTAGATCCGCCGCGAAGCTATGACGCGGCCGTGCTTGGTTGCAAATGTTTAGCACTATCAAACGCTTGGTATCCTCTCCATCCGTGTTTCCTAAGTAACATACGGTAACATACGGCAGTTGTTTTTTGCGCATAAACTACTACTAAAGCTGTGACAAACATAAATTTAGAGAGACTCTTCTATACAGTGATATTAATATATTTTTTGTCAACGCTAGTGTGATATAGTGATAATGATAAACATTTCCATTAATGACTTCTCGTATTTGCGCGAATACTTTATTTAATATAAATTTAATTGCTATTTGTTATTTACCGGGACAGTCTGAATTGTTTTAACATCTACAAAACGCACTTTAGAATCTCTGTAACACGCGATAAAAATCGGTTGCTTGACGACGAGTCTATCAATTTGCGATTGCGGTTTTTAGGTTTTTAGTCTTCATAACTATCGAATAATAAATAATCATACATTTATTTTCCCGCGGTTTCCAAATCTATGATCTAGCCTATAAATCCAGCTTTTGAAGCTAATAGTTTTTTAAATTTTTTTTCAAATCCTTCCAGCCGCGTGGCGCGAAGAAGTATCGAACACAGACAAACCTACGTACCTATATAATATGTTAGTGTTATAAGCAAAATTCGATCGACGCCAGTAAGATTAACTGTTTTGGCTTTTACAGCTTTTAAATAAATATTATAAGTTATAACATTTATTTATTATAACTTATAACTATAGTCCAGTATTCTTTCGCGTATTTTATGCAAATCTTGGGAGATACACAACGTATATTTTTACAACATTGATTAAGAGCAAACAAATTGTGTTTTATAACATGATAACGACATTGAAATGTCTCATTTCAAATTTCTCATGACACTCTTAAGTGTCTTTCACCTAAAGGTCAACGTACAACAGGCTAAATATTTGTGTCGAATCGATAATTAAGACAGAAACATCCCAAATGACCGATCACAGAATAAATTAGTGGCATGTCACTTTTCACGGTGACGTGTAAAAAATGCGCGAGTTTCTGGAGGAACCTATCCAGTCTGTGATCGGGCTGCGGTCGTTATTCAAATCATTGTTTAAAGTGAACGCGTCTCATTATATTGACAGCTAGAATTGTATTTGTTGACAATGTAAACATGAAAATACAACGGGAGGAATCTCGACATTGTCTTTTGTACAAGTTTACGTACACAAATGAGATAATATGGCCAGTGGGAAGAACGTAAACAAAATTATTATCATAATTAAGAACAAAGTATGAATTAAATTTATAATACGCCGAGAAATAATGTCAATAAACAATATGCCGATGCCCGAAGGTCGCTTTCTTAAGAAGCTATTATATAATGCCAAAATAGTCGCTTCACAAATCAACACACTACCAGTTCTGCCGCTTAAGCCATAAAACATTGGTATTAACACCAACTTCTCTCAGCCTTTAAGCAAGGTCGTGATCCAAGTCTATCTGTATAAATAAAATGACAGAGATCTGCCATTTTATTTATACAGATAGACTTGGATCCATACATCACGGAAAAACTACTTCATAGATTTCAATAAATTGGCCCTTATCTTAAAAAAGGTTATGATGTCTTCATTAACACCCAGTTTCCGAAAGCGCAATCAATTTTAATTTACGATAAATCTCTTGTCAAACGTTGTTTAACATGATCTGAGTTGCTAGAACGTCTGAAAACACAATTGATTTTGATTTGCAATTAGTCACTGATTAACGAACAATCAATAGAAAATCGAGTTTCTGAAAGCGTTTTTCGGTGGTCAACGAGCTGTCAAAAGTTTTATTAAGTAATCTGTCTATTTGGACGATCAATCGTTGGTTAAAAATGTATTTTATCAAAAATCTTAGTTTTTATTAAAAATAAACATAATTCTCTAATACGTTGTAAGGAAATTCATGTGTTTATTACCTATTTATTATTTATTATTATGCGAACATATCATGCGATTAGAAAAAATTTAAATTTTTTTTTTTTTTATGTGAAAAGTTGCCAAACGAGCAGTCGGTTCACCTGATGGTAAGTGAATACCGCCGCCCATGGACATCTGCCACACCCGAGGGTTACAGATGCGTTGACAACCTTTTGAAAATTGGGCTCCGGCTACCTCACTCACCAGACGAAACGCGAAAGTATTTGTCATACTTCCACTTTACGCTGGTCTTCTGTGAGGTCGTGGTACTTACCCGGACGGGCCTGCCCATTCGTGCAACAGCCGAGGCTGTTGCGTGGCCCTACCACCGTGAAATGCAATTCAAAAGTTAATAAATAATATGGATTCTTTCTTTTTCTAATACTTACTTGTTTATTATGGCTAAAAGTTCATTTTTTCACGTTCTGTAAAGTTTTTTCTTAACATTTTGCATGTATTTATATAAATTAAATTTTATTATAGCTCGGATTTTTACGTTGGCAATCATACGGTGACAGGACTGGATAGTGACGTTAATTTAAGTTTTGTTTAAAAAGGGACAGCTATACAATAGAAAGAGTTAGTTGAAGTAAATCATTCATTTCATTCATTATCATTGGTTATACAGTGATTAGCTAATTTTTCTTGAACAAACCTTCCAGAAACCCAAGGCAGTTTAACAAGAGATTAACAGCTGATCATTTTTGACATAGTGTTATGTGATTGCTGCTTTGATTGGCCTTTCGGAAACTGGGCATAAATGTGAAGTTATTAAAGTTTTGAGAAACAATGATTTTTATTAACACTACGTGTACAGTGATTTGTGTTTTCTTATCGTGGAGAAGAGGGGAAAACGGTGCAATTGTTAATAAAATAAGCAACGCAGACGAAGTCACGTGTATTAGCTAGTAATCTAATAAACCTAATATAACAATATGATGCGAAACCAAAAGTATTTCATATAATTACATATAACAGTTCTTTTAGACACTGCTACAAAGGGTAGTAGTACAATAACGGTCATTTATAAAAAAGGAAAACTAGCGCCCTATTTCTGATACATTGATCATTATAGAAGTCACCTAATCAGCTTTCAAATGGATTTTCAAATGTTATTTGAGTTGCTAAAAGGATTCATTCTGATCAATTCAAAGAGATTCTTCGATGATCGGTGTTTCAGAAACCGGGCGTAAGTCAACGAACTATGGATACATAAACTGACAGACAAGAGTATTATTAGATATAGAGGGTCAGAAACATAGTCTTAGGGGCAACCGTTCCGAAGCGCAAGCGAACGTTTCCCACTAAGTGCATCTAATTAGTGCGACGCTGTCTCGCATTTAGCGGTACGCCTGAAATGTCCTAGATGCACAGATTTGCACAATTGTCTAGAAATTTCTCTATGTTAACATCAGTTGAGCAACTAGCAGCCGATACAACTAATATGTTCAATTATTGCAATCGCTCCTACAAAGACACGAGGACAGATGTAATAGAGATTGATTGTCGACTTCTTTTCGAGAGAAAAATAGAGAAACATGACATGTTCCTCTTGAACTTTGAAGAACTGCTTTAACACTGTAATACATCGTTAATGTTTTAGGTTATTACTTCTTCTTACCGCTCTATGAAATATATGATCTTTTTATTTAGGCATTAGCAATTTTACTCCGTCATTATCGATATCTTTCGACTTTTATAACGCGTAGCTGACCTATAGTTGAAATTACTACTTACCGCTAGCTTGAAGTTTTCTCTCTTGTGAGTCGTCAGTGTCCATCATCGATTGTTTCTGGAAAAATCCCTAAAAAGGATAAAAAATTCGATACAGAAATTATAAAATAACACATTAAATGGTACAACAATACAAATGATCCAGATTTATGGAAATTAAAACGTATTAAAAGTAGTTAAAGTCAAATTCAAGAGAATGTTACTTAATTAAATTTATTTATTGCATTTATAAAAGTCAAACCTATCCAGGAGTCCATTAAAGAACTGGCCTTTTCATTAATCATGTATAAGTTAAGCTAAGGTTTATTGTATATTTGTTATTATCATATATTTCTTAGGTTAAAATTAAAAAGTAGCCAAAGGACATGCCAGTAAAGAGGACGAGAAGTAAATCGATATTAGATTATTTATCACTGAAATTTTTTAATGTTATAATTTTTAATTATTATTAAATAGATATAATAATAGAGCAGATTATAATTATTTGAAAACGTTATAATATTGAAAATATCTATCAAAATTTACCTGCATTTGCAGATTGGCCAAATCTTCTAAATTTTTTCTCATCAGTAGATTCTGTTGTTCAAATTCCGATACGCTATTACCCGTGCTCGACGTGGTAGATAGCTCCTGGGCAATGACAATATGACTATAATTAATTGTCAATATTGCTTTTATAGTTGATATTTCACATAACAATGTAATTAAACTCTCCTAGCAGTACAGACCACAATGTATTTTGATGAGAAAAGAGCGGGAAACAAATTTTAGTACATTGGGTCCTGGTTACCTCACTAGTGTACGTTATGCAAAGGTATGAATACTTCTAATTTTCACAGTTCTTATGCGAAGTCTTGGTTACTGCATTCTTGCCAACAACATAAGCTTTTGTATATCTCTACTTCAGTAGAACATATTTTTACGTGAAAATCTATCAAGCAAGTAGGAGGTAAACCTGATATTATGTGATTGTTGCTACCTATAGACAACAGCATCTGTTTTTTTTTTTTTTTTTTTATTTATTTAAAGTACAACCACATCATATATATTGGACATTTACATAGTTGATTTGATTATAAAAACTTATTGCTGATACATATGAAAATGACGGTGTACATAACATTGACAACATATGAAATAAAAAAGTGGGTGTTAGTAATATGAATATACGTTAAAAATATAGAAAATGTTTACAAATAGAATTAATGACTAACATACAGTTTTGTAAGCAGCTGTTTAAATTTATTCAGACTGCAATTAAATATATCCACATCGGTTATTTGTTTAACTAAGTAGTTGTATTCTCTAATTAATCTAACTTGAGGGGATTGTAGGCCAAGGTTTGTTTTTGTAACTGGAATGTGAAACAAATTACCAGTTTTCCGTCTATTTGTTCGTGGGACAGAGAAGGAGAGACTTTCGAGGAAGCTACTGCATTTAATTTTGCCATGAAGTAATCGATGTAGGAAACACATATCGATTATTCGTCTTCGGCTATTAAGGGAAGTCATCTTATAGTGTGAAAGTCTTTGGTGGTATGGGTCTGTTGCTTAGAAGATGCGTTGGCAACCTTTAAAAAAAGTTATATCCAGCATCATCATAATCACTTTATTTTCTGTAATACACATCTATCAAACCATGGAAGCTCTGTCCAAGCGCTTGACTACTATGAGAGAACTGTGCAGGAACAACTCAGGTTCAAATCCCGGTGACGAAAGCAATGAACTAGTCAATTCCAGTCTTAGATTCTGGCTTGTTGTTGTGAATTATCCGATAGTAAGTAATTAAGTCCTTACCTGTCCATCATCTCTGGACACGCTGAGATCGAGGGTTTGGTCCCCGTCATCGGAGCCACTGCCATCCTCCTCCTGACATTGAGTTCTGCCAAACAACCTCATGGATTGGTGGTTGATGATTTGCAGCGCCCTTTGCCTAGCAAAAACACGAAGAAAGACGCGAAAGTTGAATTTAAGGATACATAATAAGGATCGTTATATCTACAGTAATTACTTGATACAAAGCTATGCTATATATATGCTTAATATTCGTTTACCTAAAAAAATTAAAAAAAAATTGTTATTTCCAATGCCATAACCTACGAATGAATCTCTGTTTAACACTGTATTAAAAGTAAAAAATTAAGAGATTAATTACCTTTGAGCTTCTATGTCATTATCGGGTGTTTTCGGTGGTGTTATATTCGTGGAGCCCTCATCTTCTGTCGCCGAAGACGACCTCCTCAAGCTCCTATCGACACCGTCTCCGGAATCGTGTCTACGTTTCAATCCCAACGGCAGATGAGTAATGGGTTTGCCTGTTAAACGAACACAAAACTTGTGAAGTTGCCGGTACATTGCTAGAGTCGGCTAGAAGGGGTCCTTACCTTGCAGCGCTTCCAATGCTCGTATCTGGCCGCTAATGGCGTCCGCCACCTCGTTAGAAGACAGGCCGTATATACCCAGGAGCTCCTTCATGGTGTTCATTGCGTAATCACGCAGGATCCTGTTCGTTGCGTTGGATACATCGCCGTTCTGTTGCGTCTCTATCGCCTCTTGGCTGTCTCCAAGTCTCTCGTTGGCATTAATGTCTTGATCTTTATTATCTTCGTCAGAGTCTGACTCCCTTCTCCTCGGTGGCGAATTGGTTTTGATCAGCTGCGATATAGCGAACGGATTTTTGGCACAAAAGGTTTTGTTCTGTAAACTGCTGAAATTCAACACGGCCCTATCCCTTTCCACCTCCTGGTTGATGTGCAAGCTGTGAATGTACGAGCGCTGGAAGGAGTCTGCCTTCTTATCGTCGATTAGCCTATTCTGGTAGTTGGCGTCTATGTTCTCGTTTGAGTCGGTGCTTAATCTCCTGCTCAAGTCTACCGCGCCCCCTTTGAGGAGGCTGAAGTTTTTGACGCCGATTTTCGCGAAGGTCCCATCCTCCGTTTCCTCCTCGCCGATTCGCTCGGGTGTGGTCCTCTCGATGCCGTTGACTGGACTCTCCAGGTCACAGTTTTCCCCGTTGGAGTCGTCAGAGAAAGTCGTGGCGTTCGGGGCACACCTTGGCTTGAAGTTCTTCCTCTTGTTCCGTTTCGGCATGCTGTAATATGGAGACATATCGGCGCTGTGGTCCTCCTGGTTATCGGAAGCCTCCGTATTCCAGGAGGCCGCCCCATGGTGAAGGAACAGCGGCTCCTCTGACGCCGGCTGAAGCCTCTCGCGTATAGAATCCTGGTGGGCTGCCATCGCAGTAGTCATTGCCGTGTTTGGACTCCTTCGGGGACCACAACCTGAAACGAGTCCGACCTGCGAAAACAATACGCACCATCTTCAGTTTTTATACAAACAATCAAACTTAATTCAACACATTTTAGTGCCAAATCATAACACTGATTCATTTTCGTTCGATTTAAATCGAAACAATGTACCGGCCGATAACAATAGTCTTTTGTTGACAATGAGATTAGCTGAATACTGTGGAATGTTTTTGAATTCGTTTTGAAAATTTTCTCTCAGTTGTTTGGGAAATAAAATGAATTTGTATCGAACGGTTTACGTTGCGACATTTAACAACGTCCAATATACTCACCGGTTGGTGTTCCTCATGAATACATAGTAGCCGGCTTCGATATAGCAATCATCGGTCTTCCGAATCGGCCGAAATCACCATCTAGAATGAGAGAGAAACAATGTCTTTAAACGTTCATAATCGGACGAATTAATAGGCAAATTGCATAACAGCACTTCAATTTGTACCCATGAACAGAATCTAGCCCGATTTCTATAAGACAACGTATAATGATGTATCATTACGGCCGAAATTGCCTTCACGACGGAACGGGCCATCGGGTCCTGTAAAAAACCGACAAACACTCGTGTTTCGCGTAAAAGCGAGCGTCGGCAAAAAGCCCGGATTCCTAGGCGAATTGACGCAATCGAGCATTTAGAAATAAGATCGAACAACAAGAAAAAAACCAACACCGCCTAGCCGTGTAGCACGCATCGATCAACTCCGTACGAAATTAATTATGTTCAACGTACAAGAACTGTTCTCGTGAATACCAGATCGCTCGGAGCGGGTCGAGTTGGGTGAAAAAAAAAACGTGTATTCATGTCGAAATTGGTAACGTGTTTCTGGTGTACAATTACTCGTCGGATCTAATACAATGATTCGGCCTTCGGCATTCCCACCGAGGCAAGGCGCCTCGTTACCGAGAATGTCACGGAATCTACGAAAGCACATATATTTACTTTGTAATAATAATACCAATGATACCAGCGCTCGCGTGTTTTGGTTAAAACGGGGTAGGTATAAAGTGACATCCACGTTTCGCCCGCTGTCAGCCGGTAGAAGAGTTCGAACCCGCGGTGCAAATCGTCACTCCGAGTCTCAGTTAAAAAAAAAAATTAAAAAAAGAAAGAGAAAAAAGTTATTAGGTTATCGCCGACTCGTAAACAAACATACAGACATAATTGCTCAGCTTTATACTAGAACTTAATTAATAACAAATTGTAAGAACCTTGAACGGTTTCCTATAATTTAAAATACATATTGGCTTTAGAATAATACTATATAGCATAATATTTACACATAGGTGATTAATTAAGTTATTATATAGTACACTAGCGACCAGCCCGGGCTTCGCACGGGGGCCATTTATTATACATATAAACCTTCCTCTTGAACCATATATATAGTAAAAAAAACCGTATCAAGATCCGTTGCGTAGTTTTAAAGATCTAAGCATACATAGGGACAGACAGAAAGCGGGACGAATTTGTTTATTACTATAAAGTGATGTACGATGTTATCTTCGATGATATTTGTATTGTAAGATAAGTAAATTTTCTGTGGGTCATGCAAATACTTGAGCGAGAATAGAACCCGCGATCCGACGGCAAAGCCTTTAAGAAGTGCACCAATCGACGAATTTTGAGAGACGAGTTTATGTATTTTTATAATAAAGAATAATAATTCATTTTTGTTGACAACACCATAAATCAAAACAGTTAAATATTAATAATGAATGTCGCAATCATAAAGCATTTAGGTTATTAAAATAAAATAAAACGTATAACATTTTTTATATTGGCATTTTCGTAATACATGAAAGATAGCATGTGAGTATCATCTCCATTAAATTTTATATTATGTTATGAGTGCTAATCTCTGCACTTAATTTCAATAGCAAAGGCGATATCTTTCGTTCGAATGTCGTCGTAGAACGTTATTTGAAATTGTTTGTGTGCTGCAAAAGTCAACAATAGATGTGCCAAGCATTGCTTAAAATGCGAAAACTCAATGTAGATAAAATACGTTGAGAATTTCGTCGGTATGGCAATCAATCAGTGTAGCTTAGTGGTTCGGCTTCTTGGCGCGATTCCGGAAGATGTGGGTTCGATTCCCAATGCGGTGAAAACCGTGTTAATTATTATTATTAAATGTATTTATTTCGAAATGTTAGAAAACGCAATTAATAAGAGTCATACAAACAGTAAGTGTTAAATAACGAAAATCAGTAATATGATTCAATGTTACAATAAGTTCCACCAATTTGAAATATAGACGTGAGCAATGTGACATATCCATTTAATATTCGTGTTTTATTCATCGACTTTTATACGCTAACGTTAACTACATTATAATATCTCTGTATCCGGTTATGACTCTTATTTTGACATTACACTTGAATGATTAAAGTCGTGTTGAAATTGAAAAAGGCTAAGTGCGAAACGGCTGAGCGAATATGGATTCCGCTTAATAATTTTGCAATATAATAATAAGCATTTTGCCATAATGAATTAAGATTTGAGTTCGAAAAAAGAATTTGAAAACGTCGTGTTGAACATAAATAATTGTTGGTAAAATTAAACATAAAGTAAGTATGAACAGTTAATACACATTTAAATGAAAATTTTAAAGTAGGAGACTGAAAACGGCTGGAAATTTTCTAGACTGTAACGTTTCACTGACTTGATCGAGAAAGCAAAAGTTGCGAATACTTCGAGAAATTTATTTATAAAAAAATTAGAAATTAATAAGAATTTTTTTTCGTTAATATCATGACATGGTATAGATTCTTTTGTAGTTTGAATTACAAAATGTTTTTGTTCGGAACAGACGGATGCAATATAACCAAGCAAAAACACAGTCTACTTCAGTTGCACTATTATAGACAGCTTTATGAGTTTACAAAGCTTTCTTTATTACTCTGTCAGAAGCTTGTTTACTGGTTTCCGGTGGCTTTGTCTCAGCTTGTAAGAGACCTTAACTCGGCGAAACAAATATGATATACCATTATCTATGTCAATTAAGTCACTTCAGTTCTGCCTAGTAACACCAGTGGTGTATTTAGTTTCGGTTGCGTCATAGCCCCTTCATACGAAATAATAAAAAAGAATGTACAAACAGAACGAGTCATTTTTATTGTTGATAAAAGCAAACTCGATTTTAAGTTTCAGCCTTCAAAGTTAAAAGTTTTGGCGGCCCTATATCCTGAATCCGCCACGGAATCACAGATGTGAGCACATTTTACATATGACTCGACATACGTTGTCTTGTACACACGACTTTAATTCGACAACTTATGAACAAAAAAAATTGTGAATCTAAACCATTTTCGAATCGACCTGAAGACACATAAAAAATTTCATTAAAATCGGTCCAGCCGTTTAGGATGAGTTCAGTGACATACAAACATACAGAAGAATGATATATATAACGCTTCGCAAGGGTACAATGTATTTTATACATATAAACCTCCCTCTTCAAACACTCTATCTAGTAAAAAAACAGCATCAAGAACCGTTGCATAGTTTTAAAGATCCAAGCATACACAGGGACAGACAGACAGCGGGACAACTTTGTTGATACTATGTAGTGATGACGTACGGTTCTCTGCGTGGAACCCCAGAAATCGCGACAACGCCTCCAGCTGCAGGTGTAGGTTGGGTGTCCGGAGCATATTGTATCAATCCGTATATCGCATTTGGTGGCAGTCGACGGCCGGTGAATTACGAAACACATTACAGTCCGGTGTGGGCTACGCCAACTTGCGTTGTGACCTTAGATCGAGCACACGCCTATAATGTGGAAGCGCTATTGTTTAAAGGTAAACTTGGAAGGGTAAAAAAGGTGTAAATCCGGTGTAACCTTCTTTACACAGAGCTGATTCCTATAACTTATACTGTACTAGCCACCCGCCCCGGCTTCGCATGGGTGCAATGTATTTTATACATATAAGCCTTCCTCTAAGGGGTCCTCCTGGCAGTCTATGGGGGAGGCCTATGTTCAGCAGTGGACTCAAACAGGCTGAAATTATGATGATGATGATGATGATGAAACCTTCCTCTTGAAAAACTCTATCTAGTTAAAAAAACCGCATCAAGATCCGTTGCGTAGTTTTAAAGATCTAAGCATAGTGACAGACAAACAGTGGGACGACTTTGTTTGATACTATGTAGGGATTCTTCTCTATATTATAAATAGTGTATTATATAAAACCTGTGTATTGCCAATGTTTGATAATTTTCAATATTTAATATTTGCTTTTTATATTCAAATGTATATAAATATTTTAATCCAACTAGGGCCCGAAGGCGTCGGCCAATCAAGCAACGGCTGAAGTTACCGTGTGGATCTTCTTTGCCAAAAAATATCACGTGTTTGAATCAATTTTTAAATTGGTTCGGACCAAAAGAAACCATCAACAACTTACATGATTGAATGTGTTGACAAAAAACTGTTTAGGCTTGTTATCTTGTCCGCGTACCATAAAAAAGTATGAAAATTTATTCTTAAGTAATCCCACGAAGTGATCCGGATCTATGCCCGCTAGTACAAACAGAAGGTTGACATTATATTGCGTATGTCACGTTATCTATACACAACCCGTTTTGTTATGTTGTAATTATTGTAATTGTGAAGTAGTTTATCAATCTTCGTGAATGTAGAAAAACGAGGCGTTGGATATAGCCACGCTGTCTCGCTGTCGGTAACTTTCCAACTTTAGTGAGTTTCCCGCCGTTTTCGGGCCGCGGTAGAGCCCGGCTAAATTAAGATGTACACGAAACTAGTACTCGCTGCGTTGTTATTGACGCACCAAAGTAGTGGAACAATCAGCGTACATAGGCCCTTACTGAGTTCTTCACCGACCACTGCATCACGACATACCATAACATGGGTCGATGATCATGAACCAGAACTGGTAGTGATAAACAGCGCAGTTTTTTCTTCGCCGCCAAAA